ACTGGCCTGGGTAGTTATAATACTTCCTCCATCCACAAATAAACTTTACGTTCACTATTCACAGGGTCAAACTTTATTCATTTTGTTGGCCTATTTTCGTCCACCATTTGATAAAATAATATAGTCATGTCACCTCTAGTTTTGTAGATCTTTGGATATAGTTTTTTAATATGTAATTTTTATTTTTTAATTCTATACCATTTTTCATATAAAATGATTTGAAAATAACTTCAGTCAAACATCGTAACGCGCAATGTAAAGTTTATTTGTGGACGGAAGGAGTATAATATACCTCCTATATATATTATTATCGTCGGCCACCCACTTGTCTTTCCAATAATCCAAAAGTTATACTCCCTCTGTTTGGAAAAACTCTTCCCATTTTGATTTGGGGCAAAAATAAGAAAGTGTTAAATTATAGTTGATTTCCAATTTTGCCCCTGATGTGATGGGTAAAAGTAAGATGTGATGGATAGATTATTAGAGAAAAAGTATGATGTGATAGGTAGGGTATGAAAAAGTAAGGGTAAAAGTGGTTTTTTAATAGAAAAGGGAAGTGTTTTGTTGGAAGTGGAAAAAATGAAAGAGGAAGTGTTTTTGAGAACNAAAACTCTTCCCATTTTGATTTGGGGCAAAAATAAGAAAGTGTTAAATTATAGTTGATTTCCAATTTTGCCCCTGATGTGATGGGTAAAAGTAAGATGTGATGGATAGATTATTAGAGAAAAAGTATGATGTGATAGGTAGGGTATGAAAAAGTAAGGGTAAAAGTGGTTTTTTAATAGAAAAGGGAAGTGTTTTGTTGGAAGTGGAAAAAATGAAAGAGGAAGTGTTTTTGAGAACAGAAGGAGTATATATATATATATATATATATATATATTGATGCGTCGGCCATCTCCCACGCACCGGCCAACATAGGACCGGCGGCCTCCATCCATCAAAAGCGATTTTAAAGCCCATATGCCGATCCGCCATACATAGCTGCTAGTAGGGCTGGGTTGGGAAAACCGAAACCGCAAACCGAACCGAAACCGATCGAAACGAGCTAGAAAAAAAAACCGAACCGAAGAAACCGAAACCGAATGTAAAAAAACCGAACCGAACCGTTAGTGTTTGGTTCCGTTTTGGTTTTCACTTTGAAAAACCGAACCGAACCGAATAAACCGAACTTTCTTAGATACTTTGCTTTTTTATATAAATATATGTGATATGTAGAAAAATCATAGAAATATAAATGCAAATAAATTACTAGTCGATTAAAATTATTTTCTTAACTATTAATTAAACATTTTAGCCATACTATTATAAACTTTTAAAAAATCTATGAATATAAACACCAATAGCTAATCCAAATATAGAATTATATTAACATTTAATATTGATACGAGTAATTTACATATTTACATAAAAAAATACTTTGATGTTATAATGAAAATGAAAATATTATACCAAAAAACACAAATTCTCCGTAATTAATTTTACATACGATGTCTTTAGAAGTATTTGGAATCTCCTAAATGTTTGTTGGGTACTCAACACTTTTTTTTATGTAAAATTGAACCGAGTGATACAATAACCTTCCGTTTGATTTTTGTTTTTGTGTAAAACTCAAACCAAAAAACCAAACCTAACACAACATATTGTTATTGCTCCATCGAGTTAGTGTTTTTACAATTTTTTTAATGCTTATAAATTTCTACTTTTATAAACCGAAAAAAACCGAAATAAAAACCGTATAAAACCGAACCGAATAACCAACGGTTTACATATTTTTTATGCAAAACCAAACTGAACCGAACCGCCAATTTACCTTCCGTTTTGTCTTTGGTTTTGGGTGAAAACCGAACCGCAAAAACCGAACCCACCCCTAGCTGCTAGCTCTCATTGAATTGGTTTCCTGATATGACTCCAGAAAAGACGAATGCGGGAAATGTTTCTTCTTGAGGACTCTTCCCGCCAGTGAGTTTGGGTGGGTAGCAAATAAGACGCCATGATTGTTTTGCAACCATTGCTAGATAAGAGGTACATCAACTTTCTTATTGGGAGAAAGACCAAAGTAGGACTAAAACATTGAAAATATATACCAAAACAGGAATTTCATATTTTTATTTTCGAAATAAGACTTACATTACCAAACATGGTCATATACATTACCAAAAAAAAAACCCGCACGGGTAGCCCAAGTGGCAAGCACTTGGTGAAGTTTGGAGAATGACTAAGGATCGAAACCTGGCAGCGACCGTGTGGGAGCGACCACCTCTGAAAAATGGGGGGAGTCTCTGGTGCGCACTAGGATATGGTCTAGCTAAGTGTTGTGATTGGGTCACCGTGATTTACCTCCTCTCACATTCCCGTCGGGTCGGGGGTGAGGGGCGCCCGGGGTGAGCGATTTCACCTTTTTGGAGAATACATTACCAAAAAAGTATAGTAATTTGCACATGTACACTCCCACATTACAACAGGGCAAAATCACATTACCACAGTGCAAAGTTCTATTTCGAGAAAAAAAACATGAAAGTCCTATTTTGGTACTTTTCTCTATGTTTTAGTCCTATTTAGGGTGATTTCAATTTTTTTATATCATGGATAAATTTGTTTAAATTACTTAAATTTTATAAAGGATTCAAAATTACAACATCTATATGCGTTTAGATCAACGGACCGCAACTTAATTAGAGCCTGTTTTTAGGACTAAAAAAAAAGAGGTGGATGTTGGAAGAAACTAGAATAAATTTTAAAGAACTCGAAGAAACTTGAAAGAACTGGAAGGATTTGGAAGAAATCGGAAAAACTTTAAAAAATTGGAACCTAAAAAATTTTAAAAAATTTGTTTTAGTGTAAATTTATATTATTCTATTCTAATTCTTTTTGTTATAAATTATTATTATTATTATTAATAGTATTATTATTATTATTATCATCATCATCATCACGTTATCTTAATGAATGGTTTTAAGATTAAAAAAAAGTATTGCGGAGTATTATTTTTTGCAAGAACAAAAAAAATAATTTTGCAAAAAAAATAATTATAATATTTAGTTAGCATAAATATTAAAATGTTAAATTTTAAAAAGTTATTGTGGTTACGTTGCACCTTAATTTATTTATGTAGTTTTTATTATAAAATAATATATTTGTAATTATCCTTTACATATTACAAGATTTTTTTAAAAATATCATACATGTCACATAATGTAATCAAACCTATTCTTTTCATGATTGACAACTTATTTTATTGTAACTCATATTTTTGGAATAGACATAGAGCTTTTATTTTTGTACATTTTTTATGTTCTACTCCTATTTTAGTCTTTTTCTCTAAAATATTTTGACTTTCATTTTTTATAAAAATTAGAAAAATGAAAAACAAAATTAAATTTTGAAATAAATAAAAATGAGAAAAATTTGAGAAATAAAGGGAAAGGTGATGGGTCTTATATAAAATTGGATTAATAACACATTCTGTGTAACTATTTTATCCAAAAATTTTAATATAGTTTAAAGTATTGATATTTTCCTATTCTATCATATAGATTAATATACAAAAAAAATTGTCTTATTCATACCAAAAGGTTGAAGAAAAAATAATAATGAGTGTAAATCGTAAAAATAGTGAGATGAAAAAAATAATTTATAAACTATAGTTATGAATATAATAGTTGTAATAATAATAATAATCTCATTCAAAATATATCGTTTTAAGAGTAATTGGTTGGAGCGTAAAAAAAGAATTTAAAAAAAAATGAGAACAGTTGGAAAAAACTAGAAGGAACTGTTAGAAACTAGAAAGAACTGAAACGCAATGGATGAAACTAGAAGTTAAAAATCTAAACTCTAAAGAACAGTTTATTAGTCGAATCAAATCAAAACTAATCAGATGAGTTGAAAAGAATAAGCCCTAAACCCATGTACTACATTTTGGGGGTCTTTGTATGATTGTATCAACGCACATTCTTTCACTCATGCAATTTGCTTCCACATACAACTTGAGTTTTTTGTTTTTGTTTTTTTATGAGAGTGCAAAGATTTCATGGTTCCGCAGGCTCGCCGGGAAAGTGGTAGTACTTCCACATGGTACAATGTCAGATTCTAGACTATTAAAACTTTAGAATTTAGATTGTTTTTTTCATATGGGATTTTTAAATTTTTTGGTACAATTTCATATGGGACTCGGTCATGTGGACTAATTTTATTCAGGGTGAATATTCTCAATTTATACTTTAGTTTAGATTTGCCTAACTTATGTCTTCAACGATGATTGTAACCTCTATCCTAAAAAATCTCGTCTCACTTCGAACGACATGCAGAATCTTACCTTTTTTTAAAAATCAATTTATTCACAAATTGACATAGAAAAAAAAGTATAAATTACACTCCCTTATACCCCAGCTTTCGGTCCACTTTCATTTGACACACAAAGCAATATAATGAGTAAAATGACACAAGTGCCCTTCAAGTACCCTAATGATTCTATCCGCCATCGTAGCCTCCTAGAACTTCCCCGGCCTTTTCCCTCTGCCACCTCAGCACCAAATCCATCGTCATCCCGACGTTCTCCGCCATCTACATGTTGTCCAGCCACCACCCAGGTCACGCCAATTTCAAATTTAAAAAAAACAAGCTGGAGTACAGACTGGCTTAGATGAGAGAAACCAATCAATGTAAAACACATAAGCCCCGATTTCCGACACCTTAGATCTAGATTTTAGAACAAACACTAGATCGAGATTTCAAAATCGAATACAAGCAAAATTATTAATTAAAAACTAGACATCAAATTCAGATCTAGATCTTGAAAAGACATTCAGCCGCCATCAGAGAAGACATCCCACCAGCCTGCGCTATTGGTCGTGTTTCAAAGACATCCAACTCCGGCAATATTGATACTCCGTATGTTGGAGAAGACAAGACGAGAGAGACGAATGGGAGAGATATGAGACCATGAGAGAAAAGGGGATTCGGTTTTGTACGATTATACGAATAAGGGGAAGAGAAAATAGATTTGAATCAGTGTAAATGACAAGGGTAAAATGGACATTTCATATTGTTTTTCTTGCCTTAATAGGAAAGTAGACAAATAGGGCATCCCTAATAGGAATACTGAAAAAATACTGGGGGATGGAGCTACCCCTATGGAAAACACCCGGTTGTATAGTATCCGTTGTCCAACAATTTGGCATGAACAAGAATTTACCCCTAGGACATGGATCTGCCCCTTGTTGGACGACAGATGTGGTTTCTCTTGCGAGCATGTTCTTCGTTATGGTGTTGTGTCCGACACGCATACCCGTACCAGCAGTCTTCCCTCTGTGAGTCTTCCAGCGTCATACACTGAAGAAGCTAACTTGTATTAGAAATCTAAAAACCAAAGTTTAAGGGTCTGTTTGGTCAGTGTAAGATTTGGCTCAAATTGCTGGATCATCTGAACTCTCTCTTATAGGTATCCAAAAGAATAATCATAGAAAAACTTACATGCTTAAGCAACGTGACCCTAAACCAGTACAAGAGAAATGCAACCACTTTCTCGTAGCACTCACTGCAGTACAAAACCACCAAAATGATTAGATTAATCACCCCGGTCATATGCAAAGAAACCAAACCAGACTTAACAGGAAATCCACATGAAAATGTTTGGGGGTTTAGTACTCTGACCTACAACAACATGTACGAGAAGTTATTGTCTGAGCATGGTTCAGCGCCATTCTTGTTCGATCTGAAGAAAATACGAACCGACGAAAAAATTTTATATTATGAACAGATCATTCTAATGCACAACACATTGGGTATACAGATCTTTACATGTACAGAAATATCTTAGACTTAAATACTACCGAGTTTCAATATAAAGTTTTCAAGTATTACCTATTTGCCCATTATCGAACTTCACAATCCAGTCGCAGACCACATCTTGCAAGGTCTTACCCATCTTTGCAATACATCTTTCTGTGATCTGTTATTGACATGAAACACACAGTAAAAGCACGCGTGAGTGAGATGCCATTGAAGAGTGGCATGTGCAGTCCATTAATTAGATATTTAGATTTTCAAAAATGAGTCATTGCCTCCTGCTCATGCCGGTTACTCTCATGTGTCAAAGATGGGATTCTAGTAATTGTGCGTTCTTGTATCTGTGAAAAGATCGATTAGAAAACACTTAAAAGCTGAGTAATACATAACCATAAATCTGATATAAAAATGGAAACTGAGATTCGAAGCTTAAAAAAATAACAGGGACATTAAAGTATTGGTTTGGAAGTGTTACAGGTTTGAATGTTTCAGGACTGCAAACAGGGTGCAAGTCACTTTCAGTAACTCCCAGAGCATGCCAGTAGGCAGAACAAAATGCTCGATCACATCCCACACCTGAAAAGATGACAGCTTCAAACATTTCCACTAGCCTGAACTCATTAAGCCATGGAGAAAATAATGTTCTTGATTTGTTTTTAATCCATCCCTACAAATAGTACTTTTTTTCTCATTTGGTAAAAGTATTAGTCTTACCTTAGCCCTCACCACTATTAATTATTTTCCACCACATATTAAAGGGGTCATAACCGTTAAGGAAACTAATAGTCTACTATGGAGTACTATAGAATGGTGTAGAAAAGATAGCACACAAAACATTGTAGGCAGCAGTGATGAGTTCAAAATGTAATTACAGTTTTGTGGTACACCAATATTTGTTCTTAGAGGCATCATCCCACCACACGCTTGGCACTGTAAATGAACTGTGCTTTGGTTACACTGGAACCCTCGAATCTCAGTGCCTGAGAGTTTCAAACAAGCAATTAAATGTTTAAAATTGAGAAGTTAATGTTTGGTTCCTAAATTATGGAGATTCAAATGACAATATATCCATAACTCGTGAACAAAAATGCAGTTTTGCCTTATAAAACTATAGAAGAGGCATGTGAAAGCAATGATCTTGAAGAGGTGCACCCCTTAGGTTGACAAAACAAATGCTGATTACAAAAATAAATTGTAAAAGAATTGACCCCGTTGCATAAAACGAACGCTAATATTACTTCACCTTATGAATTTAGATAACTAACCAATTTCTGCTTCTAAATAAATAAAAAACAATAAACCACTAAATCAACCACAAGTTCGAAGACAACAATAGTTGTAGGGTTATTGTTTGAACTTTGAAGACACTTTGTACAAAGAATGTATGTCTTATGTATATCTTGTGTGTTTGATAGCTTTATGTGGTGTACCACACGACATGCACATTTATAGACCCTTTTAGTTATATAGGATTATGGGTGTTGTGTCATGAAAATGCAATGATCATTTTAGTCACAAAAAGCTGTGTGTCATTTCATGTAGTAAGTTGTTAGATTGACACCATAGTTTCAATGTAGTCCATGGATATGTGTGTTTTCATGATTTTGATAGAATAAGAATCAGGGAAAATGTCATTACCACATTGAACACATGGAAGATCCCATGTACTGGCCTCCTCTGACGGAGAGTGCACCCTCTTCTTTTTGGATTTTTTCCCACTGTTAAGAACCTGCTACTTGAGGTTAGCAACAGACGATGAAAGAATCCATTAGCTACTAACCTTCCATTGTTGAATATGCCAAACATTTTTTGTTCCAATATACCATTTAGTTATTCATTTATTTTGTTGATCATTCAACTACGATTTGGCATTCTATTTGAATGCCCAAAGAATATTTGATTTAACTACTTACAAGTGGTGATTTTATTGAGGCATAAGACTCTATAAGTTTGATGTCCTCGGAGGGACGCTTCAGAGAGGGATCAGCTTGCAGTATACTCTGAAAAAGCATGGCATCCTCTGTTTTCATCAAACAAAAGGAAAAACACAAAAAGAGAGGAAAATCTGAAGGAAGATAAACTGTGATGTAACCTAGAACAGATCAAGTATGAATGGTGCATGAAATGCATCAGAAAAACAAGAGGCGTCGTTGGTTGGAAGAATTGAATAAACAGTACTCCCTAAAATATTAGCACTACAAACAAACATAAATAATACTCCCTCTGTCCCATAATATTGTTCTAGATTCGGATTACGATGTTTGACCAAAGTTATTTTCAATTCAATTTATATAAAGATTGAAGTAGAACTAATAGATAAAGTTTATATATTCAAAAACTACTTCAAAAGTTTTACAAAACAAGTGGCGACAATACTTTTATTTTATCAAATGATCAATAAAGTAGGTAAAGAAAGTACATATAGTTTGACTCCGTAAATAGTAAGTGGATTATTATTATGGGATGGATGGAGAATAACATCTCACACTTGAAACTGCAACATATAATGACATACTAAAAGGATACTATAGAAATCAAATGACGACCAACCTACTGAGCATTAAGTGGAAAGAGAGTAGGAGAGTTCTCTGAACTGCAAAAACATATCTGATGTTCTTTTTTTATAGTTACAGCATTCAGCGCGGTAGGCGGCTGTAACACCCTTTGCATCATCCGCTTTTGTGTGTGCTACTGACGGAAAAGGTGTTATAGCACTCTGTTTGATTTGTTTGCATAACTTATTTTAATTGATGAATTCCGTTGCACCCCCACGAACTTTCACAAACTACTGAGCATAAAGTGAAATGAGGAAATATGCAAAACCAACATAAGCAATGGAGTGAAAGATAAATTACATTCTCAATGTTATGCAAGAAGGCATTTTTCCCTACAAACTGAACGACAGCTCTACACTCAGGACATTTAACACTTGAATGTTTCTCTTGAGATCTCCTTAGCCACTCTGAAAAGCACCCATTACTGGAGAATAGACATCAAGATATAAAAATAATCATACATACAAGTTTGGATGGAATTATAATCAATCTTAAGACTGAAATACAAACCAAAAATTGTGAAGACAGGGTGCAACGGTGACAACATCATGCCATATGTTTAAGCAAATGCTGCATTTTGCATGTTCTACATCAACAGAGACCTATGGAAAGCACCCATATATTGAAACTCATTAACAGTACACATCAGGAAAATAAATGTAAAAAATGCCATAATTTGAAACACAATGACAGAACACATCAGGAAAATAAATGTAAAAAATGTGGGCGTTTCTGTTTTGCCAAAGTAGTGATGAATTGATGATATTTACCTTTAACCGTTTGCAAGGTTCCTCTGCAGGCATTATCTCAAATCTGTATTTTAAAGAACCTAATGACAACAAACACAAGAACAGAAAGTGAATTATCTATATAAGTAATAAAACACATTACCAAGATAACTTCCGGCTTTTTGGTATCAAAACATAATCTAGTACCATCAGTAATAAGTTCCAGTTAAGACCCTCAAAAAAAGAGCATGGCAGGCATAAGATTGGAACAAGGAACCAGCAACAACACTTAGATGCAATTAGCAATTAACTAGAGCAGATCATGTAGAGGAGGTTGAGTTGCCAAATAACACTTACTCCCTCCGTCCGGAAAAGAAGTTACCGTTTCTCCTTTTTCTCCGTCCGGAAATAAAGTTCCCATTTCAATTTTTAATACACAAACTACCCTAAATACCCTCACCCATTATTTGCCTAATTTCCTCTTTTTCAAACCGTTCTCCTTTTTTCTCGATCGGCATCTTCTCCCTCGGTCTACCACCACTTCGATCTTCTTCTCCTCCCTCTCTCTCTCTCTTCCCCCCACCACCCGCTCTTCTTTTCTTCTTCTCCTTTCTTCTCCGTTTTTCTCAATCAGGACCTTCTCTCTCTATCCTCCCTCACTTCAATCTTCTTCTTCTTCTCTCTCCCTCTCTTTCCTAGTCCCCTTCTTCTCCTTCTTTTCGTCTTCTCCTTTCTTCTCCGTTATTTTTTCTCGATTGGCACCTTCTCTCTATCTTCTGCTTCATTCCTGGCCAGATCTGCACCATATCTTTTGAAATTTCTTGTTCTGCTTCTCCTCCTCCGCCTAGATCTTGTTAAAATTACATTTGATCTTTTGCTGGAGGCGGTGAGCGGGTCAGCTCTGTGGTCAATTGAACTTCACCTCCTCGCAGATCTGCTTCCTCGGAAAGCTCCTGCCAGTTCGGTTGGCGGGTGGAGCTGATGGTGGTGGTGTGGGTTGGGTCAATGGTCAGGCTGACTCCTTTAGATCGGGCTGTCGTGCGACTGATTGTGATGTTGGAGCTGGGGCGATAGGGAGCTGGCGGTGGTTGTGTGGGCTTAGGGGATGCGGTGTTGAGATAACAGGGAAGGATGAGGGAAGGGCAGGAGGGTATTGTGGACATTTCCATCCCAAAGTCAACACCCAATAAAAATGACCAAAAGTCAAATTGGGTACTTCTTTTCCGGACGGAGGGAGTAAAATTCAGCAAATTCTATTCCACGACAGGCTCATTGGAACACAAATATACAAATTATGTCCATTGGGTTGTGAAAAAATAAAAAAATTAGAATTATTGAAGCGAGTTTGGTAAACCATTACCCTCGGAAGAAGAAAGGCTCAGAGCAATTTCACTGCCACACTTGATCGTCCTAGTTTGTTCATCTAGAAGAACCGCCTCATCAACAAGAATCGTGTTGGAACTACATGACAATAAATTCCGGAAACATAAAGAGCTCTTCGATCTTTACAAAATAATGTTTACATATTTGTGTATATCTGTGTGTGTAAATGGATATAAGAGGAAAGCATGAAAGCAAATGAGGTTGTATAGGAATTTAAAGTGTGTATATAGGAATATTCATATTTTAAGCTCTTTCAATCTTTTGTTATACAAACTTTAAGGCCAGATAAAGTTTGAATCAAAGGTGATACCCTCAAAATAAACTACAGCTCTTATATGCAAGCCTGCAGTTATTTATTACCTGTACTGCAGGTATTTATTACCTGTACTAGTCATTCAAATGCATATCAAATTATCATACTTAGCAGATACAATATCAAGGACTTGACCCTATTACACTTGAAGTTTGTCGTTGAGCTTTTGACAGCGCAATAGCAAAAAATCTTAAGAAAAGTAGTTTTCTGTATGTTCCAACATGGTTTCACAATTGAGATGGGATATGTTCTGATATTCACGAATATGGCACCTGATGTTATAACTGAATAGCACTTCAAACCCGTCACAAACTTGATGTTATATCATGAATATGATCAAAGGTGTCATGAAAAGGATCAACAGTGTCAAACACATGGAGAAACACTACCTGATATTTTGTATGGTTGCAGAAACCAGATCCACACCTCTTTTGATTTTGCACCATGCTTGCTTCTCCAAAGATTTAACCTTTGAGCATATCACTGTCTCATTCAACTTCAGCTCAATCTCTGAATCACTTGCATCCACAGGTACTATAGGGAAACATGAGACAAGCCAGGGTATGTGTACTATCAAATACTTTCTTCTTTGTTTTAGACTTTTAGTATATGACCACAAAGGTAAATATTAAATAACAATAAATTGGATTTCTTTAACTACGAATACTACGCTTGACTCGTTCAATATGACCAAATAAAACCTATAATAGAAACACCAAGCTTTCGAGGTTTATTTGTAAAGTTTTGAGTCTTCATTTTCAAAATGATTTCAATGCGTACAAGAAAATCGACTCTAGATCTGTTTGATTTATTCCCCAAAAAGTCCAATTCCATACATACCCACACGGACACACCACACACACAAGTAAAAAGAATTATGAAATGCAGTGCATGGAACTTTTGAAGGAGTAATATTATGAATTTTAAAAAATCACTTGTTTATGTATGCACTTGAAAATATTATAGGGTTTTGGAAGATTTAATAGGAGTCTTTTGGAGGGTAATTGTTGATATCCATTTTAGATTTGTGAGGTTTTATAAAATTGAATAAATGAATAAGTACTCACATAGCATTTCATTTTCACAAGACTCTTTTTTATTTATTCTATTTTAGAAACCTTATTTTAACAAGACAAAGTGTCCCCCTCCATCCCGGCATTTTGTTAGTCTCAAATTGTTTAATATTTGTTCATATTTATCAGCGTATGGGATAATTGAATTACAGAACAATCAAAACTCTTTCACTGTCATTCATGCTGGAATTCAATATGGGTCAGAAAAAATCACAGATTTTTCATCAAACCCAGTGGTAGAACAAGAATATTAAAAAAAACAGTAAAAACATTCTGTAAATCAAGACCTCTTGATTCAAATGATATGTTTTTCATTTCCATCACTCTTTACAAAAAAAACAAAAAGATTAAAAGGAGTAAGTGAATGAAAAAAGTTTAACGATTCCGAATATTACAGCAGAGTAATTGTTCAAAAAAACCAGGTTCAAGAAAGCACAAAAGATGCAAATCTTTAACCCAGTTTAGTATCATGATGGATAGAAAGAAACAGAACGCTTACTGAGTCTGGCCCAGATGACGTTGTTGCTTGAAAAGCTAGAGCTTTGCCCCAATTCCATGTTTTTCCTCTTCTGTAACAATGACAGTTGCGGGGGTTCGGAATGTGGAATCTAAAAGTCTGTGTCCACTTTCATTTTGGCTCAAATACCAAGAAGAAGGGAATAAATGAAGGAAGTTACTAGAATCCCAGCCTAAGCTTCGATAGAGAAGAAACTTTTGAAGGGGAATCTCTGAATGGGCTACCGCAATCGAGACACCACACCTGCAATCGAGAAGCTACGGCGGCGATGGAGTAGGGATGCCGGCGGTAGAGAAATGCTGGCGGCTAATCTGTCTCCGATTTCTGAGAATCAAGGCCGCAAGCGAGAAGTGACGTCGACTGTAGAGAAGAGACAACGGCAATGGATCAGTGATGGGGTCGATTGAGAAGTGACGGTGGCAAACCTATCACCGAGTGGATACTGGTATATCCGTTTTTTATTTTGAGATTACCAGAAAAGTGGTAAAATCAACTAATTCAGTTCAACTTTTTTTTTTATTTTTTTATTCTTATTAAAATCAGATCAAATCAGATCAGATCAGAACTTATTAAAATCAGATCCCATCAAAAATTATTATTATTATCATCATCATTATTATTATATTATTATTATTATCATTATTATTATTGTTCTTAAAAATGAAAAAGAATAAACTTTAGAAACAGGTTAAATAGAAAACTGAGAAAGTAATCCTTAATTATTAGACGTCGGAAAAATTAGTTCTAAAATACATTGACAATGTTAATCTAATTCTACTTTTAAAATATATTTTTATTGTTACTTGTAATTTGAGTTTCTAAAGTTTTGATCTTTTATAAGGCTGAGATATTTTCATAAAAATACTATCTCTTCTATATATTGATTATCTAAATTTAATTACTTTTTAATGTATATATAAATTAAATATTTATTCTAATGTAGATATGAAGTAATTATTAAAATATTAAATTAATATTCTAATTTCACAAAAAAATAATTATAAAATAAAAAATATTATTACATTATAATATGAATGATTATTCTAATTTATGAATTAACTAATTTTATTTTATTACAAAATAATCATTAAATAAAAATATTGATTATATTATAATATGAATTATCATTACAATTTTCAAACGTTATTATAAAGTCAAATCAAATTATTGATTTGAATTTTAAATCAAATCATAATTAATCAGATCAGATCAGACCAGATCAGATCAGATCCAATCAGATTAGATCAGAACTTATTAAAATCTTATCAAATCAGAAAAAATAAGTTGAACGGAACGAAGCCTAAAGCATATATTTGTATTTGGATATGCTAGATCTTAAACTCTGAAGTCTTGTATTTGAGAAAATGAAAAAAATAATATATAAAATTATGCATTTTGAAAGACTTTCTTATAAACTACATTTGTTCTGGTATAGCTCATTAAAGTGGGTGTCATAGCTCATAAATTATCGTGTGGCTCCATGTAAAACCTAATAAAATCTTGAGTAAAATCCAGAAAAAGGTCCCCAATTATAGGTCATTTTACATATTTAGTCCTTATACATCAAATATTATGAATTTAATCCCCAATTATTATATCATTTTTCACGAATGGTCCTTTGTTAACGTTTTTGTTAAGAACATGAATAAAATTGTATATTCATACTTCTCTCTCCTCAATTAAGCTTCCTCCTACCTCTCGTGCTCTTTCCCAAACTCATCGCTGAATTTGAAGCTCTAAACCCAAAATTGAAATGATAACTCCTCTCTCAATTATTAGTCTTCCTAATGGGACCTAAAATCAAAACCAATAAACTTTATGGATGAGTTTTATTGGTTAGTCTCAAAAAATTGCAAAGAAAATAAACATTAAAACTCATTCATGAAGGTTACTGGTTTCGAATTTGGGTTCCACCAGTTAGACAAACAATTGAGAGAAAAGTGATGATTTCGGTTTTGGATTCAAAGCTTCAAACTCAGCGACGGTTTTGGGAAAGGAGTGCGAGGGGAGGGAGGAAGCTTAATTGAGAAGAGAAAGGAGTGTGAATTTACAATTTTATCCACGTTCTTAACGGAAATGTTAACAAAACACAATTCGTGGAAATGAATATAATAATTGGGGACTAAATTAGTAATATTTGATATGTAGGGACTAAATATGTAAAACGACCTATAACTGGAGATCTTTAATAGAATTTACTCTAAAATCTTTTCTACAATATTTACACTATGTTTGGTTCAAGGAATTTGAAATGGAAAAGAAAATGAGATGGAAAATAGCATTTCTTGTTTGGATATAAAGGAAAAGAAAAGAAAAGTGGAAGGAAAAGGAAATGAGAAGACAAAATATATTAAGAGGAGGAAAAATCAAATTTTTCCCATTTTGGTGAGGAAAATGAGAGAAAACCATTTTCTATTCTTTTCCTTCCAAATTTCTTGAACCAAACATAGTGTTAATGTGTACTGGGCAGTGGGTATAACACTGTTAGTTGTCCAAATAAATATTTCGAGCAATTAGTGAAGTTTTCTTTGGTTGACGTTATGTCACTTAGGGGCTGTTTGGCAACTTCTGAATGGGTAAATGCTAAACTAGTAAGAGGTCTGAATCATTAAGTGCTGAACCAGTAAGAGGTCTGAACCATTAAGAGCTAGTATATTGCTTAACTATTCAGAGGCAAATGTCTGATCAATTCAGATAACAGCTCTTAACCATTCAGACTCTGTATAATACTTAACCATTCAGAGGCAAATCTCTTAACCATTCAGACATCTGAACCATTAAGAGGCTGAAACAAACAGTCTGAACCATTAAGAGGCTGAAACAAACAGCCCCTTAATGTTTCGCAGTTCATTGTTGCTCCTAAATACATTTTATTCCTTTGAGGAGTTTTTTAGGGGTTTTATATTGTTAGATGTCGAAAAAATATATTTAGGTCTTCAACAATGTTTTTAAAAAAATATTTATGAGTTGAAGCAAGTTTTTGAAAAATATATTTAGGAGTTCAAGAAAGATGTTAATAGTATATATAGGGGGTTCAAGAATTTTTTTGAAAATATATATTTAACACAACTCATTGGTACATGAATCAACCTAAATAAATTGAATGCCTATTTTTCGCAAAAATATATTTCGTGGCTCAATGTTTAGTAACCTATTAGAGTCATTTAATGTGAGCGATTGAAATTCATAATCCCACATGGCTCGATTAATGACAAAATGTAACATTTCAAGAAAAAAATTTAAAAAATTTAAAAAAATGTTTTTTTTATGTAATGTTACTTTAAAATGCCATCCTTTAAAAAAACTCTTTTGTAAAAAAAGTTCATATTCTTTTTTTAAAAGAATTATTCCATTGTTTTAGGCTGCGTTCTGTTCGCCTGATCTTATCTGATCTAATTTTTTAAAGTTCTGATCTGATTTGATCAAATCAGATTGGATCTGATCTGATCTGAATGGATCTGATCTAGTCTAATTTGATTTGATTTGATCTGATTAAATATGACTTGATTGAAAATTCAATTCAAATTGAATCAACTAGTATCACACCTGTGCGTTGCACGGCTCTATTTATATTATTAAATTATATTCAGATCATTATTGAAGAACAGAAATTAATATATAATAGAATATAAAGTTCAGTAAAAGGATTGAATATGAAAATTTTATCTCTATCACAGTGGAATATGTAATACTAATATTGATAAAAATTGCATTTATTTTACAATCTCATAATAAATGTGAAACTTATTTTTTACTTATTGAACATCTTTTGAATGAGTTTAAATTTTTAAATGGATGAGATATTGCCCATATTAAATCTATTTTTGTTTGTCCTTACAAAACAATCGTTATTCAAGACTATTTGAATTCTTACCATTTATAGATAAGTATTTTTTAAATTTTTCCTAAAATATATCTAGATGCACGCCTATAAATTTTTACCGCGATTAATAATAATATTTATATTTATTTATTAATTAAATTATAAAGTCCACATATAACAAATTGTTGAGGGGCCTCCAAGAAAGGAGGTGAATGTGCTTGACCATATTCTAATTGAGATATTTGGAATGTGCAATATAGAAGTAACCCATCCTGAAAGCCAATCACTCAGGAATGTCTTGAAGTCAAACCCGTGCCCCAAGTACTTTTCTATCTGATCTATTCTCTCTTAGGAATTGTGTAAACAATAGACATAGTTTTTGTTTGTGCCGGAGACCGGAGTGATGTTTGAGCCAAACCTTATGATATTGTTGTATTGAAATGTTTGATGAACAGGGATGCATTGATGAGGCTCCACACTCCAATATTCTGGACTAAGGAGATTAGGATGAGTGCTTTGTTTTACCTGGGAGAGATAGTTGAGGCGACAGAGTATATCACTTCCGTTGATAGGGACACCACTAGAGATCTTGGTGGTTGGAGGGCCATTCTAAAGTCAGCCGCGAAGAAGCTTGGACGTTGGAGGGACATAGTGAAGTCAGATATTCTTCTCAATCCTCTGGAAACTGCTTTTAGTAACAATGAGAGAAAAAAATCTCAGAACCGCGGTTTTACCATTGAGTCAACAGATGACCGTGAGCTGAATGCGTTATTCTTCTTTTTGCGATGGACCATGTTGCATTTTGAAGTCATGAAGAAGAGTATTCAGGTGTTGTCATTTCAGTTTTGAATGTTGTCATAATTCAAAATTGTTGAGTGATATTTGTTTATTCGGTGATTGTTTGAGTTGTTATTTTTTGCAGTGTGTTTTCTCAGATCAATGGAGCCTCCTCCTTCACTATGAGATCAATATGCCTGAGATGATGCAAGATGTTTACACGGTAGCAAATGGGGCAATAGCCGAAAATTGTGTTTTTTTTGGGGATGTGAGCTATTATTGAGTAGACCAAAAAGTCTGAGATTTTAGCAGCTCAGGTTTTTTAATTTAGCAACTCAGGTTTTTGATTCCTAATGGGTAGATTATGAAATGAGTGACTTGATATGAAATGTTCGAGACATTGGAGGTGTAATATAAGGGATTCTCACTTTTGTTAATAGCACTCCATACCTAATTTTTATTTTAAACTTTAACAATACTATCTTTATAATTATAATTTTTATGGCTCGCCATATCTAATCTTCACTTTAGAAAGTGATAATAGGTCCCCCTTAAATTTTTGGTACAATAGGCAACATTATTTGCCAATTTTAAACGCTAAAAATGCTTAATAATGGCACTCTATCTAAATTCACTCTACTCCTTTTAGTTTATTTTTCTCTAAAAAATGACCTTTGTGTTTGCAATACTTTATTATTCAGTGTAGAAATTTAGTTTCATCCTTTATTTAATTTTCAGTATTCCCATGCATTTAAAACCCTCTTCGTATCATTAATTTTTTAATTTTTTTCCTATTATTTGTAAATACTTTTTTCACTTTTTCAAGTCATCTATGAAAATATACCTCTCATCCTAAATAAAGTTTTAAGTTTGACTTGAAAGAGATTAAGTAAGTGTTAAAAAATACTATGGGCTTGTTCTTTAGAGCTTGAACTCTTAACTTCTAGTTCCTTCCACTTCCTTTCAGTTCCTTCCAGTTTCTTCCAGTTTTTTCCAGTTCCTTTCAGTTTCTTCCAGTTTCTTTCAGTTTCTTCCAGTTTTTTCCAGTTTTTCTAATTTCTTCCAACTATATTTATTTTCTTCAAATTCTTTCTACTTTCTGACAAATCACTCTAAAAAATATATTATTATTATTATTATTATTATTACAACTTTTTTTTAATTACAACTTTTATGTTCATAACTATAGTTTATAAATTATTTCATTTTTTCATCTCACTATTTTTATGATTCTCATTCATTATTATTATTTTTCAACTTTTTAATATGAATAATACCGTTTTTTGTATATTAATCTATATGAAAAATTAGGAAACTATTTAAAAAATTATGGATAAATAGTTACATAGAATATTTTTTAATCTAAATTTATATAAGGTAAACATCAATATTTTAATCTAAAATATAAAATATGGAATGTGGTGGGGAGTACTACATTATGAAAACCAAGAAAAAACTATATTTTGAAAAAAAAAATGACCCAAGAAGTGTAATATTTATGCTACGAGAACTATAGAGGCATCAAACTGCTTAGCCACACCATGAAGGTTTGGGAGCGAGTCATTAAGTATAGGGTGCGGAAAGGGGTATGCATCTCTGAGAACCAGTTTGGTTTCATGTTTGGCAGATCGACTACTGAGGCCATTCACCTCGTGAGGAGGTTAATGGAAGAGTATAGGGCTAGGAAGAAGGACCTTCATATGGTGTTTTATTGATCTTAAGAAGGCGTACGATAGGGTGCCAAGGGAGGTCTTATGGAGGTGCCTTAAGACGAGAGGAGTTCCCATCGCGTACACTCGCGCAATCAAGGATATGTACGATGGGGCTATGACTAGGGTAAGGACCTCCGGGGGTGACTCTGAGTCATTCTCGGTAGGGATGGGGTTGCACCAGGGGTCTGCCCTTAGCCCTTTTTTGTTCGCCTTGGTGATGGACGTCCTAACTCAAAGTGTTCAAGAAGGGGTCCCATGGTGCATGCTTTTCGCGGATGATATTGTGCTTATCGACGACACACGTGAGGAACTAAACGATAAGTTGGAACTATGGCGCCTTGCCCTTGAGACTAAAGGATTCAGAATAAGTAGGAACAAGACCGAATACATGGAATGTCGTTTCAGCGGCCGGGAAACAAAATCAGATGTGGAAGTTAGGATTGACTCTCACATAGTACCTAAGGTAGACAGGTTTCGATATCTTGGCTCGGTAATCCAGGCTGATGGGGAGTTAGACGGGGATGTTGGACATCGTGTTGGAGTGGCTTGGGCCAAATGGCGGTTGGCTTCAGGAGTGTTGCGTGACCCGAAGATTTCGCCCAAGATGAAAGGTAAGTTCTACCGATCCGTAGTCAGACCTGCTATGTTGTATGGGGAAGAGTGTTGGGCGGTTAAGAAGACTCATGTGCGTCGTCTGCATGCGGCGGAGATGGGATTTCGAACGAAGTTATCCGACGTTAGGTAGGCATGGCTCCGGTGGAAGATAAGTTGCAAGAAGCGAGGTTGAGATGGTTTGGTCATGTGAGACGGCGGGATGTTGAAGCCCTTGTACCGAGATGCGAGAGGATTACGGTTATTGGGGGAAGTAGGGGAAGGGGCAAACCTAGGAAGAATTCGAATGAGGTGATTAGGCAGGATTTAGGACTTCTCACCCTGACTGAGGATATGGGTTTAGATAGGAACCTTTGGAGAACTAGGATTAGAGTAGCAGGATAGGAGCTCGGTGCTACAGAGGTTTTTTGTAGTGTGTTGTGTTTGATTGGAATCTTCTACTATTGCTTGCAGAACTTTCATTTCATTGTACTTGGTACTTTATCCGTGTTATACTGTGTTCCCTACCATATTTTTTGTGCAGGTTGAGCCGGGGGTCTCTTAGAAACAGCCTCTCTGCTTCCGAGTAGGGGCAAGGTCTGCGTACACACACCCTCCCCAGACCCTACTGTAGTGGGATTCAACTGGGTTTTTGTTATTGTATTTTTTTAAACTAGCTTTTTATATATGAAAAATAATACTCGTAATATTTTTTTATCTTAAAGACAATCATTAAGATAACGTGATAACACCACCACTACCACCACCACCACCACCACCAACAACAACAACAACAATAATAATAGTAATAATAATAATAATAATAATAATAATAATAATAATAATAATAATAATAATAATAATAATAATAATAATTTATAACAACAAGAATCAGATGAGAATAATATAAAACCACACATAAAAAATTTTTTAAAACTTTTTTTAGATTTTTCAATTTTTTCTAGTTTTTTCAGTTTCTTTTAATTTTTTTTTCAGTTTTTCAATTTCTTCCAGTTCCTTCCAATTTCTACCAGTTCCTTCCAGTTTCTTCCAGTTTTTTCCAACATCCAACTCTTTTTTTCCAGTCCTAAAGAACATGCCCTAAGTATTAAAACTGAGTGACAAATATTTGTTTAAAACATAAAATTATTCTAGACCACATTCTTAGGGCAGTTCATCGGTCCAAGATCGGACCATACTGAAGACCGATTTGAATAAAATCACATACCGAAGACCGGACCTATATCTATTTGGGTTTAGATTGGACCGGACCAGAATTCTTAAGACCGAATCGGTCCGGACCGATTGGACCGATTTAATAAATATATTTTTTAATTATTTTAATGAATGAAATATATTTTAGGCTTTTTACTTTGTACCATGCATATAGAAAAAATAAAACAATTTTCAAGCTAAAAATAGATACACAACATGGATCATTTCTATGTAGAATCATAAAAACTAATATGAAACATTTTTTTATTTTTTTAAAAAATTACTTAATAACAAACCCTTTTAATAAAATAAATTAAAATATCTATTAAAATAGAGCATCGAAGCGTAACATAGAACTTAAAAAGAAAAATTATAGTATTTGGGTCTTTTAGGTCGAGTAGAGGCATTAGATCCAGTCGGTCTAATCGGTCCGGAGCTATATAATTTCGGGTTTAGACCAGACCAGACCGAAACCCAAATACCTAAATTTTCTGGACCAAAGACTGACCCGAAATCCTTTCGGTCCGCGTTCGGTTTGGACCTAACGGTCTAGTTCGGTTGGTTTTTTTGGTGTGGACCTTAACATGAATAGCCCTGCATATTCCTCCGTCTATATAGCCACTAAAATACTAAGTTATTTTATTCCTAATACACTACCAAACTTTTGCCCAAACGACTAGAAGAAATTAGAGCCAACAAGAGTTTGTTTAGAGCCCGTTTAAGATAAGAAAACTCTTTCGAAAATCTTGGAACTTCCTCTCCAACTACTATAAATGTAAAAATAATTTAAAATTACTCTTTATATGACATGAAGTTGTTTTTGCCCTAATTATACAAAGTAGTACTCCCTCCGTCCCAAATTATAATGCATGTTCATTATTCACAGGGTCAAACTTCATTCAATTTCTTTCTCTATTTTCGTTAACAATTTGATAAAATAGAATACTATTGTCACTACTAGTTTTGTAAATCTTTTGATGCAGTTTTTTAATATGTAATTTTTATTTTTTAATTCTATACCATTTGTCATATAAAATGATTTGAAAATAATTTCAGTCAAACATCGTAAACCGAAACAGGCGTTATAAAATGGGACGGAGGGATTATTTTTTTTCTCAAATTGGTTTTTTTAAGATTTAATTGTTAAAATGAATGTTTTAAAAGCAATTTCTTATTAAAACTTGATATGTAAAAACATTTTATGTACATGTAGCAGTATTCAAAATTTATATTTTTGAATATTATCATAAGCTTCAACAACTCGTAATCCTTGTAAACTTGCATTTCGGAGTAATGGTAGGAAACCCCTATCTGCGTTCATCGTATACGTATAAAGAACCATCGGCCAAGGTTGCGGGAATGATGCCCAAAAAACAGTATTTCATAAGGCTGCATTCGGAGACCCCAGATTTATGTTGTGAAATTGAATATTTCGTAACCCAAAAATTTTATAAAAATCTTTTACTGAGTTTTTTTCTAAAACTTAATACACACACACGCCCCTTGGTTCCCAATGTCATGGGAACCTTCCCCATATATATGTATATTGAAATTTATTCTGTAAAGGTAAAATTATTTGACACTCATAAGTTTAGATATTGGGTTTTTCTAAAATATTATTTTTACAAGACTTCACTATATTGTTTTGTACAACTCAGCAAATATGCTGTGTGCAATCGGGTCAACCGGATCGGTTTCGGGTTGGATTTTTTCGGTTTGACTATCTTTCGGATATATGTTATAATCGGTTTGGTTTGGTTCAGTTTCGAGTCGGTTAAGTTACGGTTCAGTTATAAATCGGTTCGAATATATTTCGGTTCGGATACAATTTGAATCGGATATATTTCGGTTTCGGATCTAGTTCGGTCGGATATATTTCGGTTTCAGATAAAATGTGTTTTGGCTATATATTATTTTCTAATTAAAATTTTATTATCCATGTTTCTTTTTATGTTTTATCACATTTATCAATTTATCATCAATCCAATGCCTCATGTTATTTTATATTCTTTTCTAATTATATTATCTCTAACCTAAATAATCTTCCCTTTTTGACTTTTTAATCACATTTTACAATTTTGGACTACAAATTATGAAAAAATATATATTTAATTATGATATAAATTTAATATAATTAAAATAATTTTAAAATTTAGTTGATCTATCAAATTTTTCTCACAACTGCTAATATATTTATGTTTATAAATGAAAAGATAAAAGATAAATTCAAATAGTGTTACGTTCCAACTGAATGCAATTTGGTAAAAATTGAGTGCAATTAGGTGAAATGAAGTGAATTTTATTCAATTGAGTGAAAAATTTAACTAATTTGAGTGTATTTGGTTAAAATTAGATAAAACTAAATTTGAAAGAGTCAAATATAATTAATTCTACACCTAAATGTAATGGTGTAGATCAAATTTGAAAATGATAACACTAAGTGCTGTTGCTAGAGAGTCTTCAAAATGCTAACACTAATATCTAATGTTATTAACTAATATTGAGTGAATTGGTTTTAAATTAATCAAATTAACTCCCAAACCAATAAAGTTTATTGTAATTGGAAATTAGGATAAAATCTAGTTATTCCGTACAATTCATCATAAATTCTTTTCGTCCCAAAAAGAGTATCACACTTCACTATTTAAAAATTACGAATTTTTTGTTTGTTTGTGCGTTATCATTTATTATTTGATAAAATAAACTATTATTTTGTAACATCTTATTTTGTAAAATGTTTGACATATTTTTTTTAAATATGTAGACATTTTTTATTTCTATACCAATCTTTAAATAAAATAAATTTTAAAAACTTAAAATTTTTGCTTTGTTTGGCATTATGTAGCATTCATTCTAAGATGGAGGAAGTTTTTTTCTTCAAAATAAGATTGTTTTAATTAGATTTTGTAACTTAAGACTGAAATTAGTACTATATTTTTCATATAATATCGAATCAAAGACTTAATTTTTTATCAATTTTTCTTATGCTCAAAATTTTCACCTTTTCCTTTTCATTTTCCATGCGTAATCTTATCAATTTTCTTATGCAACCAATCAACTCATTTCTCAATTTTCATTCACCTTCAACCCTTTAGACCTTATTTCTTTCGATTGATGCTTCACCTTGTTTTTCAAATATTTTATTCCCTTTAATTTTGTTAATAACAAAATAGTTGGCTCACTTTATTCATCCAAAATTTTATATGTATGACTTATTTTCAATTTATAAATATAATAAATTTAAGGCATAAGATTTTGTAACTTTTTTCAAGATGATAATCCATTTTATGAGAGAATGAGGAAGTAATGTAATTAGTTAAAATAGTAAAATAAAAGTAAAAATTTAAAAATATAATATGCTTATTGAAAGGCAAACACAGTTCCGAATTTATCGGTTTTAGTTCTAACGGGTTTGGATATTATCAGTTTCGGATCTAATCTGTTTCGAGTTTTATTCATTTCGGGTATTATCAGGTTTGGATCTAATCAGTTTCAGGTTTAATCAGTTCGGATATTATCAGTTTTAGATCTAATCGGTTTTAGATTTAAATCGGATATGAATTATTAAGTTCGATTTCGGTTCAATTTCGATCATTTCGGGTTTTTGGTTATAGATCAGATCTTCATTTTTCAGATCATTTCAGTTTCGATTTCGGTTTCGAATAATTCGGTTCGGATAATCGGTTCCGGTTCTGCTTTACCATGTCTAATGGCAACTAAATCCATTATCATAAAAATGGTTATATGTTTTATTTGAATAAAAATTTTATATGAATAAAAAGTCTATATTGATTTTTATTCCTTAAACTCTCTAATTTGGAATAGTTGACGAGAATGTACAAGTTAGGGTGTTTCATATTACATTTTGATTTTTGGTTAACATTTTAGTCAATATATGTGATTTAGTGTTTGAATTGATTAGTCCTTTGGGGATGTGAGCTATTATTGAGTAGACCAAAAAGAAAGGGGTCAAGGGCAAAGATAGGAGTAAAATGGGTCATAAAAGACAAATAGGAGTCACACGCCCAGCCCAACCTGATAGGAGTAAATTACAAAGGAATTGCCTATTTTACCCTTGGCAGCAATGGGAGGTTGGTAGAGAAATTAAAATAACCAAGTAGGCATTGGTTTCATTTTCTGTTGGAAGATATGAGGACGAGATTTTATGCTATGTAACACCTATGGCCACTAATCACTTGATTTTTGGAAATCAATAGAATTTGATAAGAGAGCTATGCATTATGAATGTGAGTCTCTATACCGATTTTCTTTAGTACTACGAGTTTTTTCTTGCTCACAAGTCTATCTACATATTGTGTCTTTTTTTATTCTTCGCAAGAAGAATGAGATTTCATAGATTTTGAGTAAATTCGTGATAAGAACTTACTTAGATTATGAAAGACATGATACTTCTGATTTTTCTATATTGAGGGATACTAAAAGTCTATCTTTATAATTGGAGAGGCTTCGTATGAACACTTACAAATCAATGTGAACATTATGCAATTGACAGATACTACAAGATGATTACACTTTGGGATTAAATATACCCATGCAGAGAAAGTAGAATAATGGTGAAACTAGCTGGAGCTTTATTCTAATTAATTGAAAAGATGAACAATTCAATTATTTCACACCTAACAAAAAACACATTTTTGGAAGTGAATACCCATTCGGATGGTCATCCACTTTGTACCCTTTCATTCAAAATACATCCAAGTTCCGTTACCATTCCCACATTATCAACTTATGATAAATGTCTTCAAGCTAGTTGTTTATGTTTAACTTGACAACTCCGTAAAATATACAATACAACATGCCTTTGAGTATTAACTTTTACTCCTGATAAATATCTTCAAACTAACCTAAATAGATGAAGCTAAACTTTCAGAAATGGTTGACAAGTTGAATCTTCGTAGACACTTCGTACATTTGCAACTTGCAAGAGAAAGAGGGAATTGATTACAAAGGACATGCATTATCTGCTCTTTCAAAGCCCTTGCTGCAAATTTCCTTATAATGTTTGGCCAATAACTTCAACTAGAAACAAAAAGAGAACTAACACAAATCAGAAAGTAATCAAAGAAACAAGTCTACACATCCCAAAGAAATTACTGAAAATAAAGTTAGCTGAAAGACGTAACCTACATATCCAAAAGAAATTTGGGTCGCTTCAATGATAAACTAAGTTACCCTACAAAGTAGCTTCAATAACATGCTGCATCTATAGGTGTATTTTCCAAATTCAAATTCCATATGCTTCCCGAAAATGGATACCTGTTCCGATTCGAATTCCATATGCTTCCCGAAAATGGATGCATAAGCCAAATGTTCTACTTCAACACACTTATCCCCTGCAGTACAAAGAGGGGAAGCAAATTAAAACTCAGAATCAATCATTGTGACTGTCCAGCAATCTTTTACACCAAAACAAATTCCGCTGACAACAATTGTAGCTTGGTGATACCATTCGCAGAATCTGTCATACAATAATTAAAATTTCATGAGAAGAGAGAACAGCACAGAGACGGATCATACCTAGATACTTTGCCAACATGATAGAAGTTGCATATATGTGATAAGGAGGATTGGCTCCATCAGCTTTGCTTGATCCTTCCTCGAGCTTCATCCACGAAGGAAGAACTGCGAATGACCAAGAATAAAGGGATGCCAATGCAAATCAACAATGAGCAAACGTAAATATGGCTAAGACCCTTTTCTTTTCATCTGAAATTCAGTTACGTTCAAAAATTTCAGTGACTTTCAGTTCAGTTCAGCAAATTCTCAATTTTCAGTTCCTTCCATTATTTTCAGTAACTTTCAGCAATTTCAGTTAATAAAAAATTTAGTTTCTTTCAGTTCAGTTCACCAATTCTGCAATTTCAGTTCTTTACAGCAAATTCAGGAGAAGAGGACAGGGCCTAAGTTTGGAATAAAATATCTGAGCACACCCAAGTTAGGTGATCAACCAATTTTGGAGAGTTACCAATTTTTTTTTCCTGAAATGCCCAAACAAAGTGCTCTCTTCTTATAAAACGGGCACTTTCGGCTTTACGGCAACATTCAGCTAGTTTGATCAGACATTCCACTTCTTCCGACGAATAGCAATCAAAAGCAATAAGCAAATGCATAAATGGTTGAATGACCCAGTGTATACCGGCCATAAACTGTAACAGAATGTGAAAGGAAATCACACGCGTACTCAACATACTTAGCAAAGGGTGGACGATCATAAAATGCAAACCCAAACTGTTTGGACGATCATAGCAAGTATTTTCTTTTTTCAGGAAAAAGGGAAAAAGGAAGAAGGAATTAGAAACAAACAGGAATCTTGTACTCATACCAAGCGTCTTTTGCTGATAACCTCATCCCAAACAAGTCTCTTTACAAGAGAAAGAAGATCTTCTTTGGACGACTCAATTGCATAGTTACAAAAGAATTCAGACAGCTCCTTTGCTTCGATTTCATGGAGCGCGTCGGTGACAATTTTGTCTGAAATATCGATAAGGCACATTTCCTGTGTGGTAATAGTGCCACCATCCAGAACGTTGGGAAGTAATTTTCTAAAATCAACCACCTATCACAAGACATTCATGGAGCAAAAATGTTATCTTCAATGAAAAGCTATTGTAAAACAGGTAGTCTCAACTCTCAACCGGCATTATTAGTCATACAACAGCTAATTTAAAATGTCTCAAAATAAACAAGAATTTTGTTTATAGTTTGCTCAGAAATGACCACATCAATGCTTGAAAAGTGGAGCATGATCCAGGCCCACTGAAATCAACAACTCAACAATAGTGCATCCTAATCTAAATGACCTGGAGAACCATTCAAAACATGTACCAATGCATCTTCTTCCTCTCTTTACTCTTCATATCTTAATGCTGCTGCATGTTGCTAAATTTGTAGAAAGGTTGTCATTGACCAGTGGTAAACGCTAAATTCAAGTGTTTGTTTTGGTTCTTATTTTTTACGGAGAGCCCTCCTCGGAAGGTACGTCCTTCCTCTTTAAACCCAAATTATACACACACACACACACACACACACACACACATACACATAGACAACACACACACACACATACACAACACACATACACATATGTTATAATTAAATTTTAATAAAACATAACACAAGTTCAAGTTCAATCACAAATGACTTAAAACTTTATTCTTAAACATCTAAAACATAATTATCAATGCTAAAATCATAATCCTCAAGCAAAATGGGGTGGCTGAAGTAGGGATTGACATTGTAAGAGAGTCGCGACTGATAAATAATCGCAAAACTGCAGAAGGAAGCAGAAAAGGAAGGCTGATAAATAAGAGTCCCAAATCGGCAGATAAATAATAGAAGCAGATTGGGAATGGCGATTAGAAGCACATTGGGAGTCAGAGTCCCAAATAAATAGAAGCAGATACACACGCTGGGTTTGGTCTTTGGGAGTCGCGACAGACGCGACTTTCCGATTGAAATTCCCGACAAATTCAAAGTTGAGATTGGGAGTGGATTTTGAAGCGACGCTGCATTTAGGTCTTTGGGCTTCTCACAATCGCCGATTGATTGCGATCTTGCGATTTCACGAGCCGAATCGCCAATCCCGCCGAGTCCACTGAATTCCACTGGTAAATCGTACGAGTCAGATCGCGAGTTTGTCTACCATGGCGAGGAGCAACCTAAAAGGGGTATAGTACATGAATACATGGTTACCGATCGGACCAGATATCATATTCCCAAAAACATTGTGTAAAACCAGATTCCAGAAGATAAAATCAAATAAGGATATAATGCGTTGAGGTTGCTAAACTAAAAATGCATGTTATCCTAAGCCATTTTCTTCATTTTAATGGGGCCAATGATTCACTATTTTTTGAGTGTGAAATATGATGGATTAAAGTAAAATGACTTACTAGCAATACTTATCATTTGGTCAAATATTTGACCACAGAGTAAAAAAAACAAAAAAGTTGTGCAATGGGAGGGGATGCAGGGGTGCGTTAGGGCCGGGCAGGGATGTGGGGGTTTACCAGGGGGTTAGGGCCAATCAAGTAATGAGTCCATACACACAATACACACTGGCCAATAGGGGGTATAGCAATAGTTATATTCATGCCACCTGGGTCACACTTTTCATCAAAGTCAACTTCTCTCAAATTCTCTGGTACCACTGTGATCAATAGCAATACATGTCCTGGTCATAAAGGCCAAAATGTAATATTATGTGCTTTGCATTCGAAATGGCGTATTGTGGTTTTGAGGCGTTTTTTTTCCCTCGCGTATTGCGTAAGCCTCGAGGCGTATTGAGGCGTAAGCATCATTTTAAAGTATCAAGATAGTAAGATGTGCATCAAATTATATTAAAATTGAAGACAGAACATTATTAATAGTATAATTAATCCATAAACATTAAATAAGTATATTGTTAAAGTAAAATGTTGCAAAAGAAACCAAGTCTACCATGACATAGTACAAAATATTGGTTGTAGGCATAAGACTTGAATTGTCGAGAGTTACGTCTGACATTTAAGCAATATGTTTTACTAAAAAGGTAAAACTTAAAAGTTTATGTGCATATAGTTTTCAAATTTTAATGGCAAATTGGTAACAATAAAAACTAAAAGCAATAATTTGATACCAAATTAGTGAGAATAAAATGTTATCATTAAACAAATATAAACGAATAAAAACTAATAAAAGAAGGGGAGACTGAAGGGGAGATGAATTCATGAAGACTACCAAAGAGGGATGAAGTCGCAGATGAAGAACACAAAGATGAAACATAAGATAGAAGAGGAGATTGGAGGTATTGATAAACTAGGGTCGGTAATTTAACTTTTAAATTTTTCTAATTAAATTACTAATTGAAATTTAATCTAAATTTTTAAAAAATGGTGTATGCCTCATTGCGTAAGCCTTATTGCGTAGCCTTCTTGCGCCATAACTTCGAAACCCATATGGCCTATGGCTAGATTGCCACAAGGAATTTTTCTTCAAAAAAAGACATGAGGCGGGCAATATGGCATATTGCGCAATGCCATTTCAATCATTGGTGCTTTGATCTTGAATCTCTACCTAGGAAATCTATGTATCATCGAAACGGAGACGGGGGCCGGAGACGAAACAAAACGGAGATGCAAAACGGCTATTTTTAAGAAATGGAGAGACAAAACGCTGGGGAGACGCCGAATTTATAAATAAATAAATAAATATGTTGTGTATAATGTAATGTTTAAAATTGTGTATAATAAAGAAAGTCATATAACATATTCATAACATCTAAATAAATTAGAAATAGGTATAAGGTCACATCTTATGATTTTTCTTCAATTAAGAATAACTTTAAAAGACTAAAAGGCTGGGAAGTGGGAAGGTTTTAGGGTAAAGTCCTTTACTTCTCTCCATTAAATAAAAGCCTAGCAGCCGTGACTCTTCCGATAATAACACAAGTCGCAGAGGAAAGAGAGTTTCTGGGAGACGAATCAATTCAAAAAGGTGGGCGACTTTCTCTTATTTTTCTTCTTCTTATTTTCAACTTTTTCCCCTTTTCTATTGTAGCTGCAATCCGATCGTACAATCTCGTCTCCCATCCGTTTCTGAAAAGGGAGACGCGTCTCCCCTGCGTCTCCCAGATTTTTTTAAAATTTTAAATTAAAGAAACACCACGTGGAATTTCTAAGACGTTTTTCACCGTCTCCCATGCGTCTCCGCGTTTCCAAGGTCTCTGACACGGATAAGTGTGGCCTACCCGGTGTTTTTGTGCAATATAGTGGGAAATCTTCTTGTTTCTTACTAAGAAGCCACACTTGAAAACCACATTGTCATAGTATTGCTACACTTTCAAAATATGACCTCTTTAAAGCTAAAATGATGATCTTCAAGCACATAGCCCTTGCTTTTTCAATACTCTCAAAGTCAGCAAAGTTCAAATGGGTCCTTGTTAGATTTAATCGGGTTTGTTCACATATACCCGAATGGGTAATGAGTCGATGTTCGGGTTAGTTAGTGTGGTGTCGTTTAGTGTGTTTTACATATTTAATTAATTAAAAAAACAACAGCGGGTAGCTTCTAATAGGTAGTCATGGGTAGTCTCTATTGTTAATAGGTGTGTTGGTTTGTAATAGTTGTGTTGGTTAGTAAAAGTCGTGTTGGTCTGTTCTCTATTTATATTTAGAGAACACAAATAATCTTGTACAGTTTACAACAATAAAATATTCTATTTTACTTTAATCTGGTCCTGTCTCACAAATGGTATCAGAGGGAGAGGTCTGCCTTGTGAACAGAAGGTGTGTGATCGAGAGCAAAAGGGCTGCCAGATCATAAAACAAAGCGTTAGAGACTTCCTTGACACCTGATAAAAAATCTTCGACAAGATTCTTCCTCGCCTAAGACAAAGAATAGCAAGAAGCTAGTTTTTTCTTTTGGCAGAAGCATTCCAACCAAATAGTGCTGGAAAAATGAATTGGCGGGTAGCTTTTATTTAGTGGCTTGGAAGACGGAAAAGCAGTGGCTTGTCTTCTGGTTGGTGGTTGATTGCAGGTGGCTTACGACCAAGGAAGGAATCAAAGTCTAAGAATTTTGTGAAAATTGTCATAGGAATTAAAGTCGTGCAATGGAAGACAATAGACAAATTGTGACTACAAGGGAGAATACTTCACTATCTTTTACGGTTCCAATTCTAATTGCTACAAACTACACTATTTGGGCCGTGAAGATCAAAGCAATTTTTAATGTTAATGGGATTTGGGAGGTGATCGAACCAGGAACAGAAATCGATCCAAAGAAGAACAATATGGCAATAGCACATCTGTTTCAAGCTTTGTCGGAAGAGATCATGCTACAACTTGCTCAGTTTACTGAAGCAAAAAAATTTGGGATGCTTTGAAGACTCGCTTTGTTAGTGTTGACAAGGTTAAAGCGACGCGATTACAAACACTTATATCAAATTTTGAGACTCTAAAGATGAAAAACAATGAGTCACTTGATGATTTTGCTGGTAAAATTAGTCAACTTGCAACACTAGCAAACAACCTTGGGTCTGCATTTGAAGACAAAAGATTGGTTTGAAAGCTTTTGGGTTCTATACCTGAAAAGTTCATACAGATCGTTCCTGCAATTTGCTGACATTAACACAATGTCGTTTCAAGGAGCGGTTGGAAAATTGAAAGCATTCGAGGAAAGCATCAAAAAGCCAACTAAGGAAGGAGATACACATGGTAAACTGCTATTCACTAAAGGTGATGAAAAAGAGAAGGTTCAAGAGCACAAATGTGAGCATTCAAATGTGAGCATTGTGGTTGCTGGAGCTCAAACCGAGAAGACTTTGGACGTGGCCAAGGTAGAGGTCAGGGGTCCGGGAAAGGTCAGGATGGTGGTCGGTTTCAGCGGGATAAGAGTCACATTAAGTGTTTCAAGTGCAATGAGTTAGGGCATTTTTTGAACGAATGTCCAAAATGGGATCAAAAGGAACAAATTGCAAATTTGATTCAACATGATGAACCAACGTTGTTGCGAAGATCAGTGTGAACAAACAACGAATAAGGGCGTGATTGTTAGATTTAATAGGGTTTGTTCACATATACCTGAATGGGTAATGAGTCGATGTTCAGGTCAGTTAGTGTGGTGTCGTTTAGTGTGTTTTACATATTTAATTAATTAAAAAAACAACTGTGGGTAGTTTCTAAAAGGTAGTTATGAGTAGTTTCTATAGTTAATAGGTATGTTGGTTTGTAATAGTTGTGTTGGTTAGTAAAAGTCACGTTGGTCTGTTCTCTATTTATGCTAAGAGAACACAAATTATCCTGTACAGTTTACAGCAATAAAGTATTCTATTTTACTTTAAACTGGTCCTGTCTCACAGTCCAAAGAAAAACAATCTCACAAGGCAGGATAGCTATTGCAGGAACTTGTACAAATGGGGCAATAAAGACAAGAATCATCTCAGAGGACAAGATTTGGCAGTTATTGAAGAAGCATCATTATAGTTCTCAGAAAGTTTACATTTCTAGTGGAGCCAAAGATTCACTAACATCTGGTTTTAGAATTAAGCAAAATGGCTTAGTAAACCGTATGCACTTCAATGCAAATATCGACAAGATTTCCAGGGTCATCCAGAAACTCCCCGAGTGTTCTTTTCATACACAAAAACACACACTAGGGAAATGATGCAGACATCCGACTCCCTCACCACCTATGGGGCAGTAGGTAATTTGTTGTTGTGGTTGTATTAATAGTTCTCATATGCACCGTTTTATTAGCAATTTAGTATATTAAGATCTACTTGTAATAGTTTCAAATCAAAACTCGTGTGTAATTATTGTAGCATAGTGGCCAAAACCAAAAAAATGAGAAAAACACGAGTGTTTACCGGTATCGACTTATTTTCCATGGCACGGCCGATTGTATCTGCTATATCAGAGTAAACCTGCAATCACAAAAAATAAATGAATAAATAACGGAATAAAAGAAAAATAAAAAATTTAATATAAAAGACACAAGTAATCAGAGTTCAAATGTAAGAGAGATGTAGATCAAGCCCAAGATTTACCTTCACCTTCTCCTTCATCATACAATTGTTGACCTAAAAAAAGAGGCAGAGAAAGAGATGTGCATCAGAAGTAGAGCACAAACAAAACAGTGGGAACCTTACAAACCTAACAGACTGATTAACCAAGAGCAAACTAAAGTGTCACACAACTCACAACCCACACCCACCCGGCAGTCCCACTTGATGACACTACACAAAAAATGGTCATCCCAAACTTGGGAATTCAGCAACTTGAAAATGTTATGTTGAAAACATTCTCAATAATTGAGTAAATACCACAGGCCACAGCAGTGGGTAATAGCTACTCCCAAAGTGATATGGATATGAATGCCCCTAAAACTTATAAAAGACCAATCAAAGCATCCACTAACGCAGGAGCATTAGCTAAAATTTGTGCGGTCACCTTGCAGACGTGATATTTTAAACTATATGACTCATTTTGAGGTGAATCTTGCTGGAGATGAAAATTCTTGATCTTACCTTTCCAAAAAGTGGCCATACGCCTATTTTCAATATGTAACGAAGAAGTTGGGGATGTTTTAAGATTGCCTGTCTAGTTTTACGCTGGAATAAGAAACTGACGAGTTTGAGCCTTTCCTAGTTGTTTAGGGCATCCCCAGTGGCAGTCTTGAGAGAGTCTTAAAACTCTTTTCTTCAAAATGAGGAAAGTCTAAAAGAAAGTCTTTGAAATACCTGACTCACTTCAAAGACTCCCAACTCAATTCATCCAAAGAAAATACCTGACTCACTTCAATGACTAGTTAGTATAAATATATGATTAATGAAAAGGGTCTTGAGGAGAGTTTCTTCATACTGTTTTTGAGTGTTATAAGAGTTGAACAAAGATAGTCAAAATCGCAAGTTGGATCGTACAGTCCTATGATTTTGAGGATCGCCTTAGGGTTTGTGATCTGAATAACGAGAAAGATCGAGAATTAACGCAAATCGTTTGGATCGGAGTGGTGGATTGTGGGAGCGTAGGATTGCCTGGATTGACGGAAACAAGTTTTTCACATGCTAAAATTCTAATCAACAGGTAAATCCCTCTGGTTTTGACGCGATATGACCCTTCTGACGACTCTCTGTTATACGTATTACTGAATAAATACATTTACTCACACACAAATACTCACAGTTATTGCGCTTATAATCTAGTAATCGCAATTCCTCTACTTTCAAGTTCACGTCAACTTCTCATCACATTTATTTTTGCCCAGCTATTTTTTCTCTATATTGAGCTTTTTATTTAATACTTCCATTCTTGTTTCTGGTAGTCGACCTTGTTACCAAACATGTTTTCTTTTAATTAAAACATGTGTCCTATTTGTGTTTTCATATATATATATATATATATATATATATATATATATAATGCTCTTAGTGAGAGAAATGAAAAGTGTGCATTTTTTGTCCATCATGATGCACATGTACATTGCATAAAAGTTCGACTTATTTACTAAAATGCCACCGTGTATTTCCAGATTTTTGATCATTTTTCTAATTTTTATGAGCCTTAGATCTTACACTCTAATGCACCACATGCATTCTCATTTCTTACATTAGATCTCATTCTCACTAATGTGTGTGTGTGTGTATGTGTGTGTGCGTGTATGTGTGTGTGTGTGTATAGGGTGTGCGGTTCAGTTGAAAATGGTGCATTTTGGCTCTACCGTGGTGCATTTTGCACTTGTGCATTTTTGAAACTTGTACTAGTGCATTTTGGGGCCACCAATTTTTTCTTCTTTATTTGTGTGTGTGTGTTTGTGTTTCTGTTTATATATATACACACACACATATACATATGTATGTATGTATGTATATATATATAGTAGTTTTGCGCTGTAAAACTCAACTTACGTATCATCCACTCAAAAAACTACTTGACTACAACAATAGCAATTACAATCAACCCGAGGTCCACAGGATGATAAGAAAATAAAAATCTTACTACCACTAGAAATCAAAGAAGACGCATAAGTGCATAACTATAAATTAGTCATACAACTCACAAATGGACCATGTTTGGTTAAAATAATTGGTGACGACAAATAAATTACCAATGGGGTGGTTGTGTAAAAAAATACTCCCTCTATTCATGTTATTGACACTATTCACAAGGAGAATCTTCTAAACTTCTCCTAATTTATATGAGAAAATATAATCATGTGGGGTCTTATTCGATTCTTGTTTGTGAGTACCCTATGGATATCAAAGTTTTATAATTTTCACTAATGCTCCCTCCGTTCACCAAAACAGCTCTTGTTTTGACTTTTGTAGGATTTATTTTTGTAATTTGACTTTCCGATTAAATCATTAGTGTCGAAAAGAAAAGAGAGACAAATCACTTAAATAACTTGTTATATCAATGGTAAATGCATGGAGTATATTGCGATCACTTTATTAGGATATATTAGTCATTTTAATCAAAAAAAAGGAAACTGTTTTGGTGAGAGCGAAAAAAATGAGAAAGAGTTTTAGTGAACGGAGGGAGTATATAATTGTAGATATTAACGAATTTTTACTAATATATAATTAAAGATAATAATGAAATGAAACTTGCCTCGGCAAGTGTACAGAAAGAAATGGGCAAAGTGATTTTGAATGGAGTATATAAATAATTTTTTTATTTACTAAAGACCACTAGTAAATAAAGCCAATTGACTCCTTAAACTAAAGCAAATTTTTTACTAAAGCAAATGGGGATTTTGGCTTTGGATATGATGGAATAAAGCAAATTGGTAGCGGTTAGTCAATGCAAATTGTTGTTTGGTATGATGGAATAAAGCAAATTGCCTCTTCATGTACTTCTTGCAATAGTGAAGTAGCAATTTGTCAATGCAACTTTCGACGCTTATCAAGTCATATAGAAACAGCCGCTCTATGTTTTAAACCTAGGGGTCAGACTGCGTACATCCAACCCCCCTACCCAGCCATGGGCGGGAGCCGTTGAGGCACTGGGGTAATTTTGTACCAAAAACCACTAGTTATGAGTGGGTGGCTAACCTGAGGGTAGATGAATCATTCTTCCGAAAAAACATATCAACCAATATCCTAGGGAAATTATCCAATCTCACCAAGCATGAAATAGGAGAAATGGAAGTAAAATAACATATGCTACAAGAATACATTACCGGGTATTGGTTATGAAATGGCATTGTGCATGAGGCCTCGATCCAAAATCTCTGCATGGGGGGATTAGGACGGAGCTCAATATCATAAAGTAATTACAAGTAAATATATTGATATTGAGTCGTAAGAGAACCGCACCCCAAGCATATAAGCAACATCGTACTCCCCCACTAAAGGATACTTTTCAAAATCAATTTTTCCATCAGCAATCAAATTGAAGAATGGAAGAAATGAAGAACCCTACAACGAAACAACAAAAGCAAAAGATTGAGACAAATGGGGTATTTATAAAAATGGTTCCTAGTACTTGCTTGGGGAAAATATAGGCACCACCCTCAAAAGGTAGAGTTCAAGGGCCCAAAAAATAAAGACACAACCTCTTTGATGAATTTAAAGACTCACTTCCCCTACCCATGAATAGGTGGGGAGCGTTTGCATATTCGGGTTTGATATACCCAAAAATAATATACGACACATTTTTTTGATGTGGGAAAATACACAATTCAATATTTATGGGACACATCAAGATAAACACTATATTCCATGGGAGACACTAGACAATTATTTTAAGCCTCTTAGACAATTATTTCCAGGTAATGCTCAAGGACATAGCAGCAACAACAATAACAACAATATCTTAGCCTTAATTCCAAAATATTTGGAGTCCCAGAAACCATGTTTACTTATGAGAAAAGAGGTACAATACTGGAGATGAGTATATTAAAAGATATTACGACCTCCATATCTTATTTATCTTCCCATCTCCATTTTGGGTCAAAGAAAAAAAAAACACTAGAAACAAGTGCACACAGGTTTGCTTCTTCATTCATAAGGCTTGTGTTAGTTATGGTGCAAAAAGAAAAAGTGGGAACATACAAGAAAAATGTAAGAAGTACATATTAGAAATGAAAAAGATATGGAAAGGAACACAGGGTACAAAAGGTTTACAAATAAACAAAACACATAAAAGGGAAAAAAGACGCAGTATTAGTATTAAATAAAGAAAAGAAAGAGTAACCGAAGATTCCAAGGTCTTTGTGTAAGCCACGTGATGTGGCTTTGATCTCTCTAAGAATCCAGTGTATCATCTACTGACATAATTACTGTTCAAACAAGACAAGACAAAAGGATTAATGCAGAATGTTCTCGTCTGCTCTTTTAAATCATTTCCTATTGCCTTCAACTAAAACGACTCAGTTCTACCCCTGCCTCTAACCTTGGCAACAAATTGAATCCCCTGCCAAGTGAAAGCAAGGATTCTCTAGAGTTAAACTCCACATTCTCAACTGTACTCAAACTAGTACATTAGAGGGGAGCTGGCGAATTATCCAACAATAATAAAAGTGGGTGAAATAAGGTAAGATGGGGAAATACAAGCAAGGAGGCTGATGACAAATAGAAGCAACAACGAAAAATAAATTCTATAATTGGGGGAAAGAGAGGAGGTACACTTCATAGTCACTGGTTTGCAAGCGCATGTCCACCATTCACACCAATTATAATCCAAAGAAATCTCTCCAGGGAAAAGAGGTAATAGCACCCAATCAATTTACCTCTAGTTGATTTTAATTTTTGTTTACAAACAATAAGAGGTGAACCTATACATCTAAAGAGATCCACTAACAGCTCATGGCTTGAGGAGACAGCAGAGAACAAGAGAAACACATAATGTAAAGTGCATAGAGAATGTATGATAGGGATAAAAGTGAGCTCAATTTAGGTAACTCGTGTTTGACCTCTTACAGGAAGGAGGCTCACATCCTCATCCCAGCTGGGTTAGACTTGATCCCCCCCCCCACCACACAAGCATGGATGAAAACAGAGAGACCAAAGGATCAGGTACTAACCCCTTTTGTCTTATCAAAAACCTCTTTTGTCTTATCAAGTATTTCATTCCACAAGTCATTCAATTGCTCAGTCATCTCAGCAGACATACCAAAACAGTAGTAATCCTCCTGTCAAAACATATAGAACAAAGATGGTTATAGAATAAACAATTGACTTCGATTTTATCTAAGGCCAGTTAAACTTTATCAACATTTTTGTGCTGTTACCAGCTTTTCTCAGAAATGTATCCCAGAGCAAAGAAACTCAAGAGATTCAAATATATTAACTAATAAAAGAACATTCAGAAAAAAGGACCTTATCAAACAGTAGGCCAACTATGGCGGCTGCAGAAATCAGAGCGTGGAATAAGGCACGACCTTTGGTACTGTGATCAGCAAATCTCTTCATACCTGCGTATATATGCTCCAAACAGTGATGTACCTTTTTTAGAACGTGCATAGCCTTCAAATTCATTCTCCCTAACAGGAGTCTCCTCCTCCTCCTCCTCCTCAGTTAGCTGTCCAACAAAGATTGTAAATTTGGAAGCAACAGTTGAGTGAACTTTTAAAAAAAATCCTAACTTTTTAGTAAAAAAATGTGATTAGCCAGCAAGTTTACAGTATACTCGAACTCAGAGCCACAACTGCTCAAGCTCTCCAGGTCAGATGGGGATTCACTCTTCTCCTTCTCCTCATCACCTATCTCCATATCACAAGCAACCTGGGTCGGGGAGGATCGGGTTTCACCATCAGAAACCTCAGATGCCAGCATCGCCCTGGGGGATTCACTCTTCTCCTTCTCATCACATACCTCCACATCACCAGCAGCCTGGGTCGGGGCAGATCGGATTTCATCAAACTCAGGCATATCCCCCTCTGATGACGGCAAATTAGAAACACCCCAGCCATCCTTATGAGACAACTCCTGGCTCTCGGATTCCAATTCAAAAATCTGCAACGATACTTTACCAATGTCTGACCAAAACCTCTTCGAGAGCTTTCGCCTCTTCATTACAGACATATCCTTCTCTAATTCAGAAACCCTCTTCTTCAAGTTTGAAAGAGTCTTCGAGCGACTCTTCCTTGGTGATCGCTCTAGGTATTCGTCTTCATCGAACGCCTGCACATCTCTTGAAGATGACTCGCCTAGGCTGCCTGATAAAGGAAAATTAGAAACACCACTTGATGAACTCTTGCCTTCCTCATGTGACCGTGGCTCCAGAAGATGTAACTCCCTCTCTATTTCCAAAAGCTTCTTAGACAGAGTCTTCAACCGACTGTTCCATGGTGGTCGCTCCATGGAAGCAAACCCCAATTGTGTTGATAGCTTTTATACGGTAAATTAGGCCAGGCAACAAAAAGCAAACGAAAGATTAGACCAAAAACCTCAATCACAATCCAAGAGAATTGAAGGTAGGTAAAGTAAGGTAAAGAGTTAAAAAATTGTGTTTGGATGTTTATTAGGTATTTAGGTAACGTGAGGTAGAGAAAGAATAAAATTACCAAAATATCCTTGTGATTGTTTTTCTTTATTTTTTTGGAATGTATTTATATGAAATTACCTTTCACATTATATTCTTTTGTACGGACTTTTATATGCGTACGTAAAATATATATACAAAATTATTTTTACATCAATTCTAAACATTTTTTTAATTTAATTTATTAGAATTTATTTAAATTTCAAATGTAAAATTTTAAAATTAAATAAACACTCTTGGACGAAACTTCTGAGTAACATCATCTTATATAAATGCATGTGATCAAAATTTAGTTGTCATACATTTCATAATAAAAACATCAACCATATTATTCTTCCACACATCAAAAAACATAGACATTGATTTCACAAGGAAATAATTCATATCAAAGGCAAAACTTCTTAAAAAATCCATATGAGTATTCTGGCATCAAAAGTGGTTCACGAAGCATAAAAATACAAATTGAAAATTAAAAAAGTCATCTATTGCAATATTGTCTTCCATATGACAATGTGAAAAAGGATAAACTGCTTCTTGCATAGTTAACTAGATAAATCAATCTACAGCAATTAATTAACCCTAGAGCTAAATATACAGAAACAAAAAAAAGTGAAAAAAAGAAAAACTGAAAACTGAAAAAAAGAAAAAAAGAAATGAAAACTGAAAAAAAGGAAACAAAAAAACAGAGGAAATTAAAAACTGGAAATTGAAAATTGAAAAAAGTGTAAAATTGAAGTAGAGCAGAACGAAAAAAGTGAAAAAAAACTGGAAATTGAAAAAAAAAAGTGAAAACTGAAGTGCAAAAAAAAAGCAAAGAAGGAGCAGCAGATGGCGATAGAAATTGAAGTCCATCGCAGAACAAAAATAAGCACCTAAAAACAATCTGAATTGAGCAGCGCTTGAGCAGCAGATGGCGATCAAAATTGAAACAAAAAAGAGATTAACTATGCAAGGTTTATGGCGGAATTGAAGAGCAGAGCAATTCGGATAAAAAAAAAAGTGAAAATTGAACGGCGATAGAAATACCTGTGCGATCGGAACCGGAAGAAGAAGGCTATGTGAAGATGGCGATTGGTTTCGTCCGATTGGGTGAAGGGCAGTCGCCTATTTTAATTTTTATCACGCGGTCACGTAAAAAAAAGAGTTGGCAAATTAAAATTATATAGTACATCCCGTTGTACCTTACTTTAGGTATATCCTGGTATTTTTGTAAATTTTGCAAACTTTTTATCTAATGTCATGAACATATATGAGAACTATTATATATGATAATGAGTACCAGCAGATTTGACAAAGAGTACCAGCACTTATGAGAATTATCACATTTTTATTCAATACAAACATGGATAAACTTGGGTTTTAAATTCTCCATGCTCAGAGAGTATAAATGAGTAGGAACGAATCGAATAGAGGAAGAAGTTGATAATGGTACTGAACTTTTTAATTGTGAAAAAATTGAACAATACTTTATTTCAGAATGAACATTTCCTTATTTGAGAATGAGTATTGTTTTTTTAAAGAATGAACACTACGCTATTTATTATAATTATATTAGATAAATGTGTAAAAATGAGTACTTCTTTATTTTAAAATGAGTACTACCTTTGCCAGAATGAGTACTACACATTTCGAAATTAATGTTTATATTTGTACGAGAATGAGTACTACTTTATTTCAGATTGAGTACTACCGGGATGTACCTATTTCTACGATATACCAACTCCTCCCTCTACCTCTCCCTACCTCACAAACACAGTGTAACTTATTCCCTACCGTAAAAAAAACATTTTATTCTCCCCTCCTACAATTTTACCTTTTCTAAAAACAACACATAAATACTTTTTCATATTTTAATTCTACGTAAGGGAGTAAGGGACGTATCCAAAAAATTAAAATCAAAGGTATCTTTTATACGAAATACTAGTGTTTACCCTGTGCTTCGCACGAGCTCGTATATATTCTAAATTTTGAGATTCTATAAATATAATTTTAGTTGTTTTAATTTTCTAATAGTGACAAAATATATTTTAGAGCGATGGAATATATATTGGTAGGTTAATTTAAAAACAAAAAAATTATACAAAATTAATTATCATTGAATTAAGTACTAATAGAAATGGTTTGAATTAATAAAATATTATAATAAAAAGTGGATTTGTTACATGGATAATGATACATCATTAGAAAATGTATATGTGCCATAATGTCACTTGTCAGTTGTCACTTTTTAATTAAATCAATTTTATTTTATTCACTTTGTTGAAAAATATATGTAGCAATAAAATAAATAATGTAGTAAGATAAAATTTTTGAAACAAAGTATTTAATTAATAAATATGCACATGTGATTAAATTTATACAATCATTGTTTGAGAAGTAATAAACTAAAATAAGTTGTGTGTAGTATAAAAATAATTTTATATGTGTATGTGTGTGTGTCTATATATATATATATATATATATATTCAAAATACGGAGTATATTTTACAATGGTGAAATATATATATATATATATATATATATATATATAGAATTATTTAAAAATGAATATTTTATACAAATGTATCACAAGATATTTAAAATGGGTGCAATGCATATATCCACTTCATAAATGGGTGCACATGTGGATAAACATATGGCATGCCACATGTCAACACTACAACAACTAAACTCTATTTTATATATATATATACTAGTATTTTAACCCGTGCCCTGCACGGGTAGAACGAAATTATTTTTTATTGTACAATATCAAATATATTTAAACAACTTGATTTTTTTATGTTATATACCATTTAAATTTCATATATATATATATATATATATATATATATATATATATATAAAATCTAGGTTTACTAAATTATTACAAATATATAATTCTTCTCACCCCAATATTGGTGATTTTATTATTCTTCTCCCCAGCATTTATTTAACAAACTTAGATTTCTGATCCTGTAATTTTAATATTAAAAAAATCACGATTCTTCTCCGCCAGATTAATTTACATTAACGGAAATATATGGTTTTAATTTCTATGACGCATTAATGTGGTTATTCCTCATCTGGCCCTTTGCACTGAATAAAAATTGACTCATTTTTCTTGTATTATTAAAAGTATGAAAACATAAATTAGCAATCATATGATAAGAAATATAAATTTTACAATACATTAAAAATATAATGATTATTCTCCCTCGTATTATTTCAAAAATTATGTGAACGCAAAAAAAAATTAGCGATTCTAT